CAATCACAGATGGTTCTCAAGAGTTGATTTTAAGAAATTTCCAGTTTTCTTCTGCTGCTATCTTTGTCCCAGAAGGATACCCGCCTAGTAGACTTTAAAGCAACAAAGATCATGAGAGACAAAGAGGGACATTACATAATGGTAAAAGGATCAATGCAACAAGAAGAGCTAACGATCCTAAATATATACACACCCAATACAGGAGCACCCAGATATATAAGGCAAGTTCTTAATGACTTACAAAGAGACTTGGACTCCCACACAATAATAGTGGGAGACTTTAACACCCCATTGTCAACATTAGACAGATCAACCAGACAGAAAATTAACAAGGATATCCAGCACTTGAACTCAGACCTGGACCAAGCAAACTTAATAGACATTTACAGAACTCTCCACCCCAAATCCATAGAATATACATTCTTCTCAGCACCACATCACACTTACTCTAAAATTAACCACATAATTGGGAGTAAATCACTCCTCAGCAAATGCAGAAGAATGGAAATTGTAACAAACAGTCTCTCAGACCACAGTGCAATCAAGTTAGAACTCAGAATTCAAAAACTAACCCAGAACCGCACAGCTTCATGGAAACTACTATAAGGACACGTGCACACGAATGTTCATTGCAGCACTGTTTACAATAGCAAAGACCTGGAACCAACCCAAATGCCCATCGACAATAGACTGGATAGGGAAAATGTGGCACATATACACCATGGAATATTATGCAGCCATCAAAAACGATGAGTTTGGGTCCTTTGTAGGGACATGGATGAACGTGGAAACCATCATTCTCAGCAAACTGACAGAAGAGCAGAAGATCAAACACCGCATGTTCTCACTCATAGGCGGGTGTTGAACAATGAGAACACATGGACACAGGGAGGGGAGCACTACACACTGGGGTCAGTTGGGGGGAAATAGGGGAGGGAGCTGGGGAGGGATAGCAAGGGGAGAAATGCCAGATGTAGGTGATGGGGAGGAAGGCAGCAAATCACACTGCCACGTGTGTACCTATGCAACAATTTTGCATGTTCTTCACATGTACCCCAAAACCTAAAATGCAATAAAATAAATGGGAAAAAAAAAATTTCCAAAGAAGGCTGCCTGCATAGTGGTTCCAACTGCCCTTTCTAGGTGATTGGAATCAGCCCATCAAAAGCAGCCTTTATGTACATTCCGAGGCCAGAGTAATATTTTGAACTTTGTGGGGGATGTTTGTTCATCACTTGGGTAGAGGAGGAGCAGAAATATCTCTGTTTTCTCTTTCCAAAGTAAGATGAGGCTATTCCAGGTTGAGGGATTTTTCTTTGCACTGGGTTAATTTCTGCACAGTGATTGAGATGATTTATTAAAACCACACACACACAAATTGCAAAATGAAAAAATTTAGGTCAGAAGCAAATGAGTTTTGGACCAATACTGTTGATAAATCTAAATTGTTAAGAGAGATCTTATAATGCAACCTCAAATTCTTTATTAGACTTTACTGAGTACTGGCTCTTTCCTGCTCTGAACAAGAATTGAGCAGCTTGTCATGACTGGGAAAGGAGGACCTGCAACCATCTGGCTTGGTCTCTGTTAATGACGTCTCTCCCTCTAAACCCCATTAAGGACTAGGAGAGGCAGAGCAAGCCTCAGAGCCCCGGCCTTGGTAGTTATTAAGATGTTAAGTCGTTTGCTGCAAATTTCTGGTGCTCAATAAAGAGTAATTTCTTCCTAAATAAAAATAATAATTGGGTGGTTTTCCATCTTTTTCCATAGCTTTGAGTAGCTTAAAGATAAAACACAGCTATTATCTGGCCTTTCTTCCTTTCTCAGTGATAGAGCCTTACATTTCAAATTTACTGTGGTGTGACTAGTCAATTAAAAATTTCAACTTCTTGAGTCAATATTCATTCTTTAAAGTACTGTAAGTTAACAGACATGCCTTGGTGTTACATGTCATGTCATTTTTTCCCTCCTGGGACATAAGGATTTTAAGCAAGCTTTTCTTCTGGACTTTTTTCTGTTATACAAAACACAAACATCCATAAAGATACTTGTGTTTGAATAGTCACCTTTCCATGGTGTCAGTTACTTGCTGAATAGCACAGGAAGGAGGAAGAGCTACAATTTCAGCATGTTATCAAAAATATTCTCTAATTAAATCTGTCTTCCCTAAAAGCATGTCTCCCTCCCCTTGGTTTGCAGCCTTCAAATTATTAGAGCTTACAGTTAGTGAGGCTTCTCTTTCAGTTTCTAATTTCCCAGCTGGTCTTCTGTAGAGGATTTGAGCCTACAATGATCAGATGGGCCTTTTACAGAAATCTGTATCTGGCACAAAGTCTGAAACATTTGTATCAGATTTCAGGCTGCTCCCTCAAAGCATTTGGGAGGTATTTTTACTATTATAAATTGTGGCTTCCTTATTTCATCTGAAAGGCAATGTTTTTATCTTAAATCTGCTTTTTAATCTATTAATGATAAATCCATTCTTCATTGTACTGTTTTTAGTGAGTTTCAAGGGAGGAAAAGACAGTAAAAGTGTCTTCACTTTGTCACATCAAGTTATTTGCATTCTGTTCAGGAATATTTCTAAAAATCCACTCTATGGATTGTCATCTAACGATGACATGATTTTATTAAAGAATTGTTACTCGCTGGGCATGGTAGCTAATGCCTGTAATCTCAGCACTTTGGGAGGCCAAGGAGGGCAGACTGCTTGAGCTCAGGAGTTCAAGACCAAGATGGGCAACATGGTAAAACTCGGTCTCTACAAGAAAATACAAAAATTAGGTGGGGGCGTGGTGGTATGCACCTGTAGTCCTAGTTACTCAGGAGGCTGACGCAGGAGGATCGCTGGAGCCCAGGAGATGGAGGTTGTAGTGAGCCAAGATCATACCACTGCACTCTGGCCTGGGTAATAGAGTGAGACCCTGTCTCGAAAAAACAAAAAAAAGTTACTCAATGCGCTTAAAATGTAAATTATACTCTGAGTAACTTTATTCACACACTTTTAAAGGAACCGAAATGTAGTCAGTAAGAAATACTTGGAACCTAATAGGAAATAATACCATCCAATAGTTGCAAAATAGCCATACCTTTCATGACAGAAAAATTACTGGCTCTATACAAAAAATAGATGCCTATTTGTGACTTTATTTTCTTTACACGGAACAAGCAGATTCACAAAAATGGTGTTAGTGGTAAAAGAAATGCAATAACAGGATTTGGAAAAAAAAAAATTTTTTTTAACACCCAGACCCAGTCTCTCTTGAATCTTGAGAAGTAATAGAGCCTAATAAATCCAGGTGAGTTAAACTGCTATCTGCTTTTATTTCCTAGAACTGTGCTAAATCTGCAAATTGTATTTTCAGACAAAACCTTCTACATTCTTCAAACACAAATTCCATAGTCCAAAACTTTATCATTATGTGCCTCCAAAGTTTTTTTTTTTTTTTTTTTTGAGATGCAGTCTCACTCTGTCACCCTGGCTGGAGTGCAGTGGCACAATCTTGGCTCACTATAACCTCCACCCCCTGGGTTTAAGCGATTCTCTTGCCTCAGCCTCCGGAGTAGCTAGGACTACAGGCACACACGCCGCCATGCTGGGCTAATTTTTGTATTTTAGTAGAGATGGGGTTTCACTGTGTCTGCCGGCCTCAGCCTCCCAAAGTGCTAGGATTACAGGCATGAGCCACGATGCCTGGCAGAAATTTTTTAAATAACATTTTTAAAAACTTATCTGACACACCAATTTTCCACATTGCTTTATAGTAGTGTCCTATTCCTACTGTTTCAGATCTTCCAGCACACTACTAGAGTCTCTAAAGCAATATATGTGACCTATGTTGAGCAAAAGTATATGGGCTTTAATGTTCGCCTGATTTCATCTTGTTTTCTGTATGTATCAGGACTTTTTCGGTTGTGAGTTAAGAAAGCCAACAAGCTTATGAGCAAGTTTCTGCTTAAAGAACCAAGCAATAGGTAGTTGAGACGCAGGAACAGCTATAATTAGCTTCAAAGTCCTTCCACTTTCTGTTTCCATCTATTTACGCTCTACTAAATTTCGTTTTTCACGACAGCTTTTTTCAGATGACAGAAAAATACAACTGTGGAGAGCTCCCACGCTGAGATTAGCTCTTTTTGTTTCCAATTTTTTAAATTTCATTCTCTGATTAACTCAGTAACTCAATTTGAGCCAAGTACGCTCTCAAGAGGTAATTCCTAGGTGGTCAAGGAGGTAGAATCTGTAAGATGATAGTAGCTCCCCTATGAACAATATAATAAGAACACCTTCCCAAAGAAAGAGATACTATATTGTATTCAAAAACGGGGAAAGGACATACAAAGTCTCCTTTTTCTTAATCTTTTTTTTCATGAATTGGAAGACTTAATATTATTAAAATGTCCATACTACCCAAAGTAATATACATATTTAACACAATTCCTATCAAAATACCAACGACATTCTTTACAGAAATAGAAAAACAATCCTAAAATTGATATGGAACCACAAAAGACTCCAAATGGCCAAAGCAATTTTAAGCAAAAAGAATACAGCTGTAAGTATCACAATACCTATTTTTTTGTTTGTTTTTTGAGATGGAGTCTCACTTTGTCACCCAGACTGGAGTGCAGTGGCGCAATCTCATTTATATCACATCCGTCATTGCAAAATGCTCTTTAAAAAGGTAAAACAGTAGCCTCCATTTTAAAAATAAATAAATAAAAACTACTCTATGCCAAGCACTCTACAAGGCCCTTTAGATAAACTATTTCAAATTTTCCCCATAATCCTGTATAGCAGAAATTATTATCTCAGTTTCAGATTAAAAACCAGACTCAGAAAAGTTCCGTAAAAGTCATACAGGTCTAGAACTTTTAATGCTTTCAGTTTGCTATTTATTCTTGTATTTGGAAATTCAAATAATATAAAACAATTTTCATCATACTCTGCAATACACAAATGCTAAATAAAGTTAATGAAAAATAACCAGAAAAGACTGACACAACTGGCAATAAAATTCTTTATTATTAAGTTTTCTTTTTGAGAGAGAAGCATGCTTTTTATACAGCACCTGTAAACAAGTCAGTGAAGTATACTATTTTGAGTTTCTCCATTTCATTTTTTTTTTTTTTTTGGGGGGGGGGGGGGGGGGGGGGGGCGGGCTGGGAATGTTAGGTTACCACAACATCAACTGTATTACATAATAGTTACTGAAAGCAAGTCAGGGTAAAATTTTATAGCTAAAAATATTCATAGCAGCAATTTTTAAAAGATGATTTTATTAAATCAATCATTGCACTTGGTCATTTTATTGCTACAACAAAACAAGGCCATTACATTATAATACTTTTCATTTCTGATTTAACTGATTGTCTCATTCTGTTCATACATTTCAAGTTTAAATGCAAGCATAAAATGTTTATCAACAAATCTAGAGAGCACTTGGATTATTTTTTATTTCTGTGATCACAGTAAGGAGCATAAAAAAAAAAGAGTATCTTCTTTTACACAAGGCCTGTTCTCTCTTTACATCTTCAGACTTAAGTTCTGTAGAGGGTAATAGCTTTATATTAAGACAGAAGCTTAGTGGTCACACACAAAAAATAACACTGAAATACAATTAGGAAATTAATGATATTGTGTCTCAAAGAATACCTTAACTATACATTCATTAATAATTTGGCAATGACAGATTCCATGCTGTTCAACTTTCATGTTTTATACTCACATGTAAGGGAAAAAAAATTCATGATTTACCCCAAGTAAAGGTTATTATTCTTACATATCATTTTGTGATATGAACTCTAATAATAGAAATTAATAAAACTTCCCATACCAACAGCAAGGAGTAAATTGCTAGAATAAAGGAATCATTTTTCCCATGAGGCCTGAGTTTGTTTGGTTCTGTTTACTACTTGATAAATAAGAGTATTTCAGTTACTTTTCTATGCTGACTGAGTAGTACACAAGCAAAAACTTTAAATGCATTTCAGTGCCCATGAGCATCTTGATTTTAAGTACTAATGAGAAAATGACCAAGAAAAACTTATTTAAGAGCAGCCTGAAATCTGTTGGAACCTTCCTTCACCCCATTATTAGGGTAACCAGGGATCACTTCAATAGATTTTCAGGTGAGAAAGCTGGAGGATAATTTCTAGCATTACAATGTTTTTATTTTTACCTAAGGTCTGTCATTAAAAGAAAATAAAATAAAATTTAATACGGAGGAAATAATTCATTTGACTAGTCATTTAATCCTATTCTATTTAACAAAAGAGGGAACAAGTTTGCTCAGTAGTGACTTCATTAGAAGAGCCCAAACATTTTAAAGATTTCTAACGTATATTCTTAATATATAATTAGCGTTCCCCAAAAGCCCTAACATAAACTGTAAATTAAACATTAAGTTGTTTAACTGGCATTTCTGTTATTTTCTACTTCAGTTCTCTTTATTTGAAACATGACCAAATTTCATTTACATATATTTCTGTATTATGATATTAAAATGTAAAGAAAAAATATTGGTTTAGTGGTTTAAAACTAAAAAACTGAAGCATGATAACTGGTACTCAAAAATCTGACACTCATTTGCTATATGATAAAGCATAAAGCCTAATTTTTTACAAATAAAAAATTTTAAATTTTAAAAATTTAAATAAATCCACTTATGTTTTCAGATGTTACCTACAAACAGAACATTTTAAAGCATTCAACTGTTCATAAGTAACTCTGAAGAAACGACTAATTCATTCATTCTGTGAAAATGTATTTTAAATATGTTCAACTATATTTGGTTTTAAATAAGCTGTAATGTTATATTTTATGACATACTAACATTCTTTATAAAGTTTGTACCTAAATAATAGTTCGAAATATCTCCACAAGTTAGTTTGGTCTATTAGGTAAATTAAACATCATAAAACCTGAGTATTTAAAAGATAACTTGTCAAAATAGGAAAGCTCACACTGAAGTTCTGAAAAGCTTTGGGTTTTATTTTCCTAATATTATCATTATTAAAAGTCACAAGGAGGAGCATGAAGAACTAAGTCACAAGTTAATGAGAAATATTTGAGACTGTAAAATAAGCAGAAAAGTACGGCAATAAGGCTAGTGTTTATATATTTTGTATGTGCTGTAGTTTCTAGGCACAAGTTAAGGGTTAAATTAACAGTTTTAGATTCTTCAGAGCTAATGAATTTAAAATACAGCTCATATTTCCCCCCAAATGGTTAAAAATCCAACATGTTTTAACTAAGTTCCTTTTATGACTCCTATAGTGCAAGCAACATAAAATATTCTAAAAGCTGATGAAATTCTCTTGATTATTCATTAGTTCTTACTATATGCATGGGTGAGTAATCTGGCTTATGTAGCTAGGAAAGTCCTATTTCATCACCCAAAATATAAACAGCAGACAAATAGGCACAACAATGTAACCTTGGGTAAGAGGATAAAAGTAAAAATATATACACACACACATACACACACAGTTTATATCCCTTATGCATTATGGAAAAAGTAGTGACTATAGTTACTAAAAAGCTAATTTGTCCCTCTCAAATAGTATATCTTACAGATTACTTGTAAATATATCACCATATTTATAGTATAGATCTCTTTAAAAATAATACAAGTTTCAATTAAAAAAACTACTGTTAACATTTCTTATTTATACATATTCAGTAGTATTTTCCAGCAAACAATTTTTTAAAAAGTGTTTGCAATCCCAGCACAGTAAGAAATAAGGCCTCTTTTTCTTCATATTGGCAAAACAAAATATATATATATATATATATATATATAAAATTCACCCCTCACTCTACTTTTCTATAGATATTATACTTCATATACTCATATTTATCACAACACCAGCATTCACAATTTTTAAGTAACAAGTCAGTTGAAGTTCATAGTGTTGCTTCCGAATCCCTGGAACATTATGAAAACCAGGTCCACACCACCTCAAGAAGACAGGACAGCTTTTTTCAGCTTCTCTATTTCTATCTAAAACACAAAACATAAATTGAGGAATACATAAAATTTCCTTTAGTAGTTTATTTTATTCTATGTCATTAAGATTGATCATACTTTCAAGCCTTCAGATTTTTATTTCCAGATCTAAAATCCAATTTCCCATGGTATAATATTACTGAATAAAGTTTCAACAGTACAGTGCGAGTTGCTAAATGGCAGTTACAATTTTAAAAAAAAAGCAATTATAGCCCTTTCAGCCAGAACAATGTTATGTGAGCATTTAAAATTAAAGCCATAAATAAATCAGTCAGTCCTACAAAGAACAAAATAATCTTAGAAACCAAATTGAGAAACGTACATGTATCTGTAATTAAACAAAGGGTACATTAAACAACAGTAAAAGGAATAAAGAAGAGACCTGTTTAGTGTCATGTTTTTCACTAATTATATATGTAATTATTGCTAAATCACTTGACTTGGTTTCAATTTACTTATCTGTAACTGGTATATACTACATTAAATATCTTAAAGCCCAAGAATATATCTAAGATTCAGTCAAGGTGATTAATATATTTCCACCTTTAAGCAGAAGGCATTCTTCACTTAACAGAAATTTATAATTTAAGGAATTTATGAAGAAGGAAATCAGTTCATTAAGTCTGCACAACAACTACACAGAATTATTCAGTATTGACATATTCAAATGGCTAAGTTGAGGCTCAAAGACATTAAACAGGATGCCAATGTTCCATACTAACAAGTAACACAGGACTTATCCTGGTAAGATTTAGGGCTTTCAAGCCCAGTTTTTATACTGATTTATCTTGCCAATATTCTGATCATCTTTAACCTTTCACTGTATGAGGAAATACATAGATCTTGCCTTATCCTAATGGCATCACCTTCCTCAAGAGTGCAAATAAACAATACATGCTTTGGCTAGCTTCTGACAAATAGTACATTATTAAATGATTAGGACTTTGCAACAGTCAAAAAGTATAATTTTTATATGTTCACAATCTCCTGAAGGATTATAACCATTCAAGAACAGTTTATTAATTTCTGGATCTTCCCTGATATGATTCTCTTAATATTATGATGATTAGCTAAATGTGTGAGCAACACTGGACTAAAACAATCTTCTGGCTTCGCTTTGGATTGAGACAATACCCTTCATTGTTAACCTGATCTGTTATTATAGTCTTTACTCCAAAGATACAGAAAGCAGTAAGAAAATCAAATTGATAGAAAAGGGAGTAGAGTGTGTGAAGGCTACCTCACAATCAGTAATACTCCTTGTAATGGAGTACATGAACGATCAGTAATACTTGTAAATTGCTATTTGTGACATACATTTAGTTATCACTGGACAGGGATCATCATGGCGGATGGGAGGCAGGACTAGATTACAACTCCAGACAGAACAGCGTGCAGACGCTCGCATGGTGAATTTTAGCTCCAGATCCACTGCAAGAACAAACCTGCAATCCCGAGAGGAAGTGGACTGCTCTTGCAGGACCTGGGAAACACCCCAAATACTGTGAGTGCCTCAACTGCGGATGTGGGAAAGGGAGACCCTCCTCTCCCAAACACCCCCCCACCCCGCACTGGAGAAACTGAAGGTTTGTTTGCAGAAATTTCCGACTTTACCTGGAACTGACTCAATTTAGAGTGTCAAGCAAAATACAGGGGTAAAGGAAACAGCACAGAAAGGCCCTGGGAGCTTTCTGGGTCCCCAAGAAGGTCATTCCCCACTGGCATCACAGGAATCCATCAGGAGGGCGGCCAGAGGATCCGGGGGTAAAACTCCACAGGGAGAAGAAAATGTCAGTTGAACTTTAAAGACAAAGGGCACATTAATCTTGGGAGTTCTATGTTCTATGGCCCCACCCACTGCTGGTCCCTCTCCATACTACTACAGCTGATGCTTTCTGGAAAAACGTCACATTCTGGCAGGCCAACCAGCACAAGCACAGAGCATTAAACCACCAAGGCTAAGAACCCTCATGTAACAATTTGAATAAGGCAAGAAGTCTCCTGGCCACAACTCTGGGTAGGGGGGTGGGGGCACAAATCTGTGTGCTGACTCCACAGGCGAGGGAAGAACCAAGCCCTTTTCTTTCGCAACGAGGACGTGAGTAGCCTGGGGCAAGTTTTCAAGCCCAACTCACCCATCGCCTGTAAACAGACTTGGGGCTGACAGGGGAGGCACAGTGGGAGTGAGACTGGCCCTTCAGTTTGCGCGGGAGCTGGGTGAGGCCTGTGTCTGCCAGCTTCCCCACCTCCCTGACAAACTGCATGATTCAGCAGAGGCAGCCAAAATCCTCCTAGGTACACAAGTCCAGTGACCTGGGAATCTCACCTTCATCACCCACAGCAGCCACAGCAAGACCTACCCAAGAACAGTGTGAACTCAGACATGCCTAGCCCTGCCCCCACCTGATGGTCCTTCCCTATCCACCCTGGTAGCAGAAGACAAAGGGCATGTAATCTTGGGAGTTCTACCTTCTACGGCCCCACCCACTGCTGGTCCCTCTCCATACTACTACAGCTGATGCCTTCTGGAAAATGTCACCTCCTGGCAGGAGGCCAACCAGCACTAAAATAGAGCATTAAACCACCAAAGTTAAGAGCCCTTATGGAGTCCACTGCAGCCCCCTGCCCACCACCTCCACCAGAACAGGTACTGGTATCCATGGCTGAGATTGCCACAGACAGTTCACATCACAGGACTCTCTGCAGACACGCCCCAGTATCAGCCCGGAGCCTGGTAGAGTCGCTGGGTGGCTAGACCCAGAAAAGAGACAACCATCACTGCAGTTTGGCTTACAGTAAACCACGTCCATAGGAAAAGGGGGAGAGTACTACATCAAGGGAACACCCCCCGGGACAAAAGAATCTGAAGAGCCTTCAGTCCTAGACCTTCCCTCTGACAGAGCCTACCCAAATGAGAAGGAACCAGAAAACCAACCCTGGCAATATGTCAAAACAAGGTCCTTCAACGCCCTCCCCACCACCAACAAAAGAAAATCACACTAGTTCACCAGCAATGAATCCAAACCAAGAAACTCCTGATTTACCTCAAAAAGAAATCAGGAGGTTAGTCATTAAACTAATCAGGGAGACACCAGATAAAGGTAAAGCCCAATGCAAAGAAATCCAAAAAATGATACAAGAAGTGAAGTAAGAAATATCCAAGGAAATAGATAGCTTAAAGTAAAAATAATAAAAAATTCAGGAAACTTTGGACACACTTTTAGAAACACAAAAATATTCTCGGAAGTCTCAGCAATAGAATTGAACAAGTAGAAGAAAGAAATTCAGAGTTCGAAGAAAAGGGCTTCAAATTAGCCCAATCCAACAAATACAAATAAAAAAGAATAAGAAAATATGAACCAAGCCTCCAAGAAGTCTACGATTACGTTTAAAAAATCAAACCTAAGAATAATTGGTGTTCCTGAGGAAGAAGAGAAATCTAAAACTTTGGAAAACATATTTGGGGGATAATCAAGGAAAACGTACCCAGCCTGGCTACAAACATGGACATCCAAATACAAGAAGCACAAAGAACACCTGGGAAATTCATCACCTAGGCACATTGTCATCAGGTTATCCAAATTTAAGATGCAGGAAAGAACTGTAAGAACTGTGAAACAGAAGCACCAGGTAACCTATACAGGAAAACCTGTCAGATTAACAGTGGATTTCTCAGCAGAAACCCTACAAGCTAGAAAGGATTGGGGCTCTATCTTCAGCCTCCTCAAAGAAAACAACTACCAGCCAAGAATTTGGCATCTAGCAAAACTAAGCTTCATATACAAAGGAAAGACAGTCTTTTTCAGACAAGACAAATGCTGAGACAAATCGCCGTTACCAAGCCAGTACTACAAGAACTGCTCAAAGTTGCTCTAAATCTTGGAACAAATCCTAGAAATACATCAAAACAGAACCTCTTTAAAGCATAAATCACACAGGAACCATAAAACAAAAACACAAGTTAAAAAGCAAAAGCAAAAAAACCAAAGCACACAGGCAACAAAGAGCACAATGAATGCAACAGTATCTTACATTTCAACACCAACATTGAATGTAAGTGGCCCACATGCTCCATTTAAGATATACAATTGCAGAATGGATAAGAACTCACCAACCAAGTATCTGCTGCTTTCAGGAGACTCACCTAACACATAAAGACTCACATAAACTTAAAGTAAAGGGGTGGGGTAAAAGGCATTTCATACAAATGGACACCAAAAGCAAGCAGGGGTAGCTATTCTTGTATCAGACAAAACAAACTTTAAAGCAACAGCAGTTAAAAGCAGCAAAGAGAGACATATAATGGTAAAAGACCTTGTTCAACAGGAAAATATCACAATCCTAAATATATAGGCACCTAACACCAGAGATCCCAAATTTATAAAACAACTACTAATAGACCTAAGAAACGAGATAGACAGCAACACAGTAACAGTGGGGGGACTTCAATACTCCACTGACAGCATTAGACAGGTCATCAAGATAGAAAGTCAATAAAGAAACAACAGATTTAAACTATACCTTAGAGCAAATGGACTTAACAGATACATACAGAATATTTCATCCCACAACCACAGAATACACATTCTATTCAACAAGCACATGGAACATTCTCCAAGACAGACCATATAACAGGCCATGAAACGAGCCTCAATAAATTTAAGAAAACTGAAATCATATTAAGCACTCTCTCAGACCACACTAAAATAAAATGGGAAATCAATTCCAAAAAGAACCCTCAAAACCAGGCAAATACATGGAAATTAAATAACATGGTCCTTAATGAGCACTGCGTTAAAAACAAAATCAAGATGGAAATTAAAAAATTCTTAAAACTGAACGACAATAACACAACCTACCAAAACCTCTGGGATACAGCAAAGGGGGTGCTAGGATATGAGTAAATAGCCCTAAATGCCTACATCAAAAAGACCCAAAGAGCACAAACTGACATTCTAAGGTAACACCTCAAAGAATTATAGAAATAAGAACAA